CCCAACCCACACCCACAGCCACCCACACCCACATCCACACCCACCCACGCCCCACATCACCCACACACCCACACCCTCGCCCACACCCCACACGCACAGCCCACCCGCACCTACACCCACACCCCACACCCCACACATCCACACCCACACCCACACCCCAATCACTGAGATACTGGTCAACTATATGACGAAGAAATTATTTCAATTAGAGCATCGCCTCTCTTCTGATTAGGTTATCTTTGATGAAATTATATGAAAAGGGAATAGAACATGACAAAAACTGACAATCAAATCGGAAGGACAAAGATCGATATGTACCGGCATGATTCACTACTCTCTCAAAAGTTCATGTGCAATATTCGCTGATACTTGATTGCAGGTCATTTGACAACTTAGAAAAAGAAGTTGATCATCGCCACTTTGGGATCTTTAATGTGATTAGTGCTCTAAAGAGAAGAGCAATGATTAGATGTGAAAACGACAAAATCAGTCACGTATATCAACACAAGCTTTTGTCAATGGCAAATTTTTGCACGCGGTCATTTATATGATCGAGTACATATAGATTTCCGTCAAGGTCGAATGACAAATCTGGGGGATAATAAAGTTGATCAGGCTGTGAGCCATAGCCGCGACCACCAGCGATGACAGTGCCAGATGTTGCTCCACGTGGCCATCGTACTATTCGATGTTTATCTGCATCAGTGATATAAACAGTACCTAACTCATCTACGATGACACTAGTTGGCATTGATAATGGATCTTTATCGTCACTTTCTTCCGAACCACCAGCAACAACCGAAATTTGTGTTGATCCTTCATCTACTCTTACCACTCGATGATGGTTCGCATCGGTCAGATAGACAGATCGATTTCGATCCACGAACAATTTATCTGGATAACTCATAGTTGAAATGATCACTTGAGCAATTGTTTCACCAGCACGCCATTTTCTCACTTCGTATTTTTTCCAGTCAGACACATAGAATGATCCTTCATCGTCTTGTACTATACCAACACCATTAATGCCTTCAATAGCTGTTTGTCCTCTTTGAACTCCTTGAGGCCACTTCTGAATTCGTTGATTAAATAAATCAGTAACGTACATTGTTCCATCTTTATCGACAACAATGTCAAATGGACGATTCAGTTGATTACTATTATTTCCATAACCATTCCCGCCCGCTACTAATTGACCAATCGAAGCGCCACGATCCCATTTAACTACACGATGATTCAACGTATCTGCCACATAGATTGTTTGATTCACATCAATAAAGAATCCACCGGCACCATTTAGTTGATTGAGAGCCGAGCCTTGATCATTACCACCAACCACAGTCGTGGCATTTTGAGCCCATGTTGCTCTTGCACAGATCCCATCACCGGGTTTCGTTGATAAAATGGAAGCTAAATGAACGAAGAGTAAAAAAAAAGATACGAATTTATTAAGCAAGAATTGAACGACATCCAGAAAATTGTGATTAATCGCTTTCACAAGGACTATTTATACGGATATTGGAGATAATAAAAATAGTTCACATCGACAGGTCAAATTATCAAAGCTGAAATAAATTAGACAGAGACTGCATTGAAGAACACTTTCTCAAACAATAAATTTTTTATCGAATGAGACGTCAATCTTCTATTGTACTTGTACCACCACTAGTCTACTTCCACAAAAATTCTTTTTTTTTGTTAATTTATTCCAGGTACTTGTGGTCCCTAAATCATTGTTGGTTCATTTAATTTTTTTGCTCGTTCAAGCAAGATATTGCTCTTTTTCTTGTTTGAAGCAATTTAAAGATATTAGAATGCTCAGTGATGAGTGGAAAGGATGTCTATTTGATGCATGCCTACGTATTAATCATAGTTATTTCAAAACGCCGAATCCAAGAGTGTTTGTTAACTGATTAGTTCTCTTCACACAACAGAACTTTCAATAACGAGTCAAATTCTGCACAACCTTTGTTTAACTCTTTGTTCTCTCACTTGATATCGGTGCACAGATTTGTTCAGTCATCGCTAACGGATAACAAATAGGATGAGCATAACATCGAGGATGTTGAACACAGACATGGCCAGGCTGATAACAAACATTGTTTGGAGGTCCACATGAAACAAATTGAGAACAAGTTAACCAAAGAAAACCACAAATATCACTATCATTAACAGCTGTTCTTTGAAAACAGCCACAAGCAGTGTTCATCGAACATTGTTCATACTGCGACTTCCCATGACACGTTTGACAATTCACTCGAACTACCGAACAATGAAATAAAAAGTTGAATGCTTTCAATAAAATGAGAATCAAACCTGCGAGACTACAACAGAGGTTTGTTCAACATTAGAAGATCGAAAAGGAATGAAATTTCAATTACCTGAAAAGAACAAGTACGAAACAATGACTTGTTATTATAATCATAGCTAGCATCGAAATGAAATCATTTTCTATACTTCTACTCCACAGGTGATATTTTTCGCCTCTTTTAATAAGCAGAGAACGCATGGTCTACTCTTTTAATATAAAGAAATTCGATATAGCTCCTACACTTTCTAATGTACTTAATCCGGTTCTTCATAGAAGAAAATAGAAAGAATCAATATTCAATTGATATGGTGCACACACAATGCACACGAAGTTTACGTCACCATTCTCAACAACAGTCGTTTCACGAGTATTCAGTATCGTCCGAGATAATCAGCCATCCAAAAAGAACTTTCATAGATGTTGACATTATATAGCGAAATCTTGAAAAAAAAGGGTGTGGGGTATGGGTGTGGGTGGGGTGTGAGTGTTGGTGTGGGGTTGGAGGGTGTGGGTGTGGGTGTGGGTGTGAGGCTAAAGATCAGACAGATATCTACACCCACATCCACATCTTACGCACATCCACGCCACACACCCATATTCACATCCACACCCAGGCCTATCTGTGGGCAAAATTTTGGGTCGAAATATCGTCATTCGATTTGTTAGTATATACCATGCTATAGACTAAAGTTTCAGTAAAATGACTATAACTCTGAAGGAAAGGCCTACGAGCTCTTATCCTTTTGAAATTCTTCATACCTCACTGGAGGAGGGTCTACCTTATGCACAGAGTTCAAACTCAAAAACGATTAATCACTTGAGGGTACTTCTCTCGTAAGTGTAAATCTAAAGTACGAAAATGTTACTTTTTGTCAACTTAAATGCGAAAGTAAATATTGTTTACTTATGTTAATCAAAACATAAAGCTAGTATAAAAATGGTTCACCTTAATAATTTTAGTTCATCAATTGGCCGTTGAGTTGATCGATAATCTACTCATTTGATGAGGATTCCATTGAATTCATCATTGAGCTTGCGCTTTTCGCCATGCTACAATCTTTTTTGGCAGAATATTGTGAATTAAGAAACATACTGATGTACTTCTTGTAGCGTAGCTCAATGTCATCCAGAGTCATTTCATAATCGTTGAGCGTGTAGAAATTACGACCTTGCTTACCCTGAGGATTGTCATGCAGCCAAGTAAGCGGGTGTAGGTGTGGGTGAGAGTGTGGGTGTGGGTGAGTGTGTGGGTGGGTGTGTGGGTGTGGATGTAGGTGGGTGTGGGTGTGGGTATGGGGGTGGGGGTGTACGGGTATCTGATAAGATATATGACAAACACCCACACACCACCCACACCCACACCCACAACCACACCCACCCACGCCCACACCCCACACCCACACCCCCACACCCACCCACACCCACACACCCACATTACATAAAAATTTTAACTTCGTTTTGCAAATCTTTTTAATTTTTTTCTCTTGCGATAATTGATTCCAACGATGAATTTAATAAATAAAAGAAGTGAACTGAGTAAATCATACTTTTCATATGCATTCAGTTAGTTTTGACTGGTGAGCATAATAAGAAAAAATTATATTAATAAAAAAATTAAAAGACTTTATTTATTCTAATAACAGTTTTAAATTTAACTGAATGTAATTTGTCAATACATAAATGAATTGAAGATGTGAAACTTATTTATAACAAAGATAAATATTTTTTTTCAATAAAATTTTATCTGATATTAAAACGCTAAAACGAATAAATATAAATAAATTTTATCATAATTTATTATAAACTGAGTACTTTTTATGAAATATATTTTTTATCCTTGGACTTATATGAAAAACTTGAAATTATTTATCAGATATATTCAATTTTGTATTAAATTAAACTAAAATAAATTAATATTTACTTTTTTAAGATTTTTTTTTCAAAAACAATTTGGTAAATGTATAAACTAATTTGTTTTAATTGGTTAAGATAAGCTACACACATTTTGTATATTCACTGGCAGCAGAGTCAACATAATTAACGTTGCTGATAGTGCTCGTGAATGTAGAAAGTATATGTGTGTGTCCTATCTTAACCGTTTTAATTCGAAATAGATAGCTTACATTGATTAAATTTTATTTTGAAGAAAAACATTCATTTTGTTGTACATGAAGCTAACATAAACTTATGTTTATTTCAATTTAAAGAAAATAGCTTTTACGGCCGCCAAATTTTATTTTGAAAAAAAAAAATTTTAAAAAGGGAAATATAAAATTATTTTACTTAAATTTAATACAGATTGGATATATCTGATAAATAATTTCAAGTTTTTTATCTTAAGTTTAATGTTAAAAAGTATATCTCATAAAAAGTATTTAGTTTATATGAAATTAAGCTAAAATTCATTTATATTTATTCTCGTAACGTTTTCTTTTCAGAATAAAATTTAATAAGTCTAAAAAATATTTTATTTTAATCAAAATAAATATAATTGTTTTTAGGTTAATGTGCCATAAATCGAATAGTTTTTTGATAGATTAGTTCATTCTTTTTCGATTTTAAGTGAAATACCATAGTCAAAATCAATTCTGTTTTAATGAAAAAAAACTGTATCACTTCAGTATAATATTTTTTAATGCACAGCTTATTTCATTGACAACAATGCTTTAATTATTTTAAATGCATAAAAAAATGAACTATTAGATTTAATCTCTCTTATATGAAACAAGAAAATAGGAAGAACATTGTTCAAACTAAGTTTATTTTTTTTAAATTAATTTAAATAGAATTAAGAAATTTTACTGATAATTTAAGCAAAAAAATAGATTTTAAATTAGATAAACAAAATTAAATGATTAATAGAGGAAAACATATGTTGAGGCTTAGGCACAATCGTAGAGCAATTAAAATATTTGAGATTTTATGTGAAAGTTAAAAAAGATACTTTTTTTCCAGAAAAATATGATTTTTTTGTTTTACTGACAGAAACTCAAACAAATCTAACGGGTTTTCCCGTAACGTTCTAAAAAATCAAAACAGATGAAGTGTTGGTGTACTGTCTCTTAGAGAAAAGTCGTTTCCTTCGGCCTATCAATAGTATATGCACTTGTCACTGTCGACATCTATTGTAAAAGACTGGGCAATGGAAAAATTCAAAGAATTCTAATATAGGCCGAATAAGTATAAAATAAGAAACAATTCGACACTAACCTGGTTTGGGAGATATGCTTTTTTCTTAAAAAGTCATCAGTAAGAGGATAGTTCTCTTAGCAACGGAATGAAGTACACGGATGATGATGGGCTTTATGTATTAGATAGCAGGTAGCTCTAATATATTCTTTTTTAAAAGAATGCATTGATTCATTTCAAACTTCTTAATATTAAGGACTATTTTATTCTTCTTCTTACTATTTTGTGCCATGAATCATGAGATCTTTGGAAACAGTTCTTGATATATTACGAATATTTTATTGATGTTGATCGAATGAACACAATCATTTTGTGTCAAATGAAAAAAGTATGAAAAATACAAACCATAATAAATTTGTGCTATACTGTGGTGATAAGAAATAAAAAAAATATTATAACGGATTTTATAGTTGCTACGTAGCGATTTGGATTTTTTGTAGAACTAGAACAACTTAAACATTTTCCTATAGATTATGTAAACTTCACCGTACTTCAAGTATACAGATTAGTTTTTCTCATTGCCCATGTCAAATGAACTTGTTTTGAATTTCTTTAGAAGCAACTATGCATTATCTTTGCTTAAAATGTTTATTGATTTTGATATAGTGCATGCTGAAAAATGATTTCAAAGAGACATCGAGAAGAAATCTTCAAATAAATAGGTGGTGTGTAAGCATATACCGCTATCATGCTTAATTTTTGGTGATGTTGAGATTGAATAATTTATTCTATAATTTATTTCACTAATAAATCGTTTTTCATTTAATATCATTTCAAGCACACAACTTAATTGCGTAAGACATTCATCTTTTAGACTAGAACAGCAGAGACCTAAATTAAAAGTCATTAGTAAAATAGTAGAACAAAAAGAATATTAATATATCAGCAAAAATTATAAATAGCGCATCAAAGGTGTTTTTGATGTAAAAAAAAACAATCTGATTTAGAAAAACATTAGATATAAAAAATTTCATCATTAATAATCATCACAATCATATAAATAAAGCATACAGCTTAATATTATATAAATATTTTGTGTGATGTCATAGACAGGTCAAATTCTCAAGGCTGATTTTCCGTTGAAAAAACACGTAGTGCTTGTTATAACAATAATGCAGAAAATCTGAAGACGTCAGTACTATCGAAACTTAACTCGCTTTAAACAATTCTCTAGAATGTTTGCACCGAAGCAGAGATGCATGTTTGGAATCAGAATAAATTTGTGAGTCGTTTGATATATTATCATTCCAAAATATTCATTGCCCAAGATGTTCGATGAAAGTGCATTAGTAACTTTCGAATCTATTATAGAAAGCATTAGCCATCGATCTTTGACATCTAACTATATATAAACAAGAAGATTTGTATGTATAGACTAGACGCTTGAAGCAGTTTGTGATTATTTGTAATAGTTCTAACTTGGACACTTCAAGTGTCAATGGATAACCGATTTTAGACAATGACCTGTCTGAAATTTTCTTGATCGGACAATTTACACTGATGTTATCAAGCGTCTCGTATCTGTCTTTTCTAGATACTCCAACTAATTTGCGACTTATTAATTCTAGAATGGTTATACGGTTCCATATGAACATTACATATAAGAACACAATATTTTAATAAGGTGTTTTTCCTCATAAATCTTATTGTTAGTTGGAATTCAACCCAATAATTTAATGAAAGAAATTTTTGAGAGTTCAGTGATTTTTCTTCGAATCTTCCCGAAAACGTGGAAAAAATATCATTGAATGTTAAAGAAATTTTATTTAGTTATTGGTTAAATTCCACCGCACAATAATACTTACGAGAAAGAAAATTTTATCAAAATCTTTTTATATCTAATATTCATATGCGATCGTATATCTATTCTAGAATGAATAAGTTTAAAATTAGCTAAATTATCCAGGAAAGACAGGTCTCAGAAAAATGTGCAAGCAGACTTTTTCAAAAATATTAAAGTGCAAAACCACATAAGCGTTTTTCACGACTGTGTATACCTATTGTATGTCGAATTCAGTCTTGTTTCTCTGCTCCATTTGAATTATAATACATTATGCACCAAAACACTTTTCAGAAAACCGTGATTATAAACTATATATATACCAAACTAATATCGACAATTATAATATCATCTGGAAATAATTAAATGATTAAAAATTAAATCAAATCAAATAAAAAATAAGTTATTTAGATTCATTTATATATCGACCGAACTATTTCAGAGATACGGTTAGACTTAATAACCGCAACATAAAAGAAAAAATTCGTTATCGGAAAAAATGTCCCAAACAAATGGAAAAGTTAAGCACTCTATAATTAATACCGCCAAATAAATATTTTATTTTTCGTTTTCTATCAGAATTCGAATAATTTTTCACCACAATCATGACTAATACCTACGTGTAGGATGAAACATGCATTATCTGTTCAACTTAAAAATAAAAAAGTAATAATAAGCTAATTGCTCCAGAAATAAAGTCAATATCTATAAGATAAAATTAATGGAAAATTCAAACATTAAAGAAAAAAGCACACTACTACCTTGCGCTAAAAAATAAAAGGATTTCATTTTATTACACATAGACTTAGTACGAAGGTGTGGCTGTGTGGGTATCGATGAAAAGAGGATCGACATCGAATAGTAAGACTTGAGGACCCAACGGTACCCCTATAATATAGGACTTGAGGACCCAAGGGTACCCCCCATAGTATAGGACTTGAGGGCCCAAGGGTACCCCTATAATATAGGACTCGAGGATCCAAGGATACCCCTATAATATAGGACTTGAGGACCCAAGGGTACTCCTATAGTATGGGACTTGAGGACCCCAGGGTACCCTATAATATAGGACCTGAGGACCTAAGGGTACCCCTATAGTATGGAACTTGAGGACCCAAGAGTACCCCTACAATATAGGCCTTGATGACCCAAGGGTACCCCCATAGTATGGTACTTGAGGACCCAAGGGTACCCCTATAATATAGGACTTGAGGACCTAAGGGTAACCCCTTATAATAGGCCCGTTCCCCCCGTTTCCCGGGAACTGGTAACTCCCCGTTACCGTTACCCGGGAACGGTAACGGTAACTTTCCACCCCTAATTGAGTTAATTACATAACGAAAGCAATTCAAAATTGACGTCTTTTACATCTTCAGTACAATGTTTCGTACAACCATGCAGTTTACAATGATCACATAGAACTCGATAGCTACCTTTACAGTTCTCAAGTGAATATTTTGATAAAATCATTTATTAATAAATTCAGGTAGTTTTGTATATAGTTTTAAAAATAAATATCAATCAAGAAAAATCGAATAGAAGTACTATGAAAGATAATTTGCCTTTGATGAATTCATGCGCTCATGCTGACCGATAAACTTCTATATCAGATATTTCAAAGTGACTGCTGCCAGTGAAAGTTAATTCTCCTTTTCCAGTTGTGTCATCATATGAAGTGGGAAATTTAGAATAACTGTTATTTGTAGATTGACTTTCATTACACACATGTAAATCGAACCCACCACCAAACGTCGGACCGTGAGTAGGACTATGTGCAACAGCGTGTAAAACTTTCGTTGATCTAATATTATACTTGGTAGGCGGAATATTATGCGGATTCGTCAGTGTAAAAATAAATGGCGTAGTCGGATCCTCTACATAGCCCATTACTGAACTCCAATCTTTTGAAGTATATCCTCCAAATAACCATCCACCTTCTTTCGCTTGAATAATGGTTAGAGTCGGTCCTTGATTATCCGAACAACGATGAAAGTCTTCGGCTTTGAATCCATCACGTTTACCTTTGTAGATCAGACGCCATTTTTGTTCTTGATTACCAACCCATTTGCTGAGTTGCATTTGATTTTCAAGACGAAGAAGCGAACCACCACCAGTAAAGAATGTAAAACATTTTGCTTTGATTGAAATTGAATGTGTATTGATTTCAAGTGGTTTCATATCAACGTGAAAAAAATCAGGTTTTTCAAGAGTTGCACAGCGATCATTAAATGCTTTAATTGGTTTTTTTAATTGTTCTACTTGATGATGCGAAGCATCACCTTGATCAATCAGTTGCCGTACGGATTCACATAATTGTTTTCCAACTGCTGTTTCCTCTTTCAATTTTAGTTGAATAATTGTTTCTAATGATGCTTTCTTTTCATCACATAGTTTATCGATCATACGATGACTTTCTTCGCGCCATCGCTCAAGCTGTTCTGTTGCGTGTTTAGCAAGGCTAGTAATATTAAATTGATTGAGTCTATAAACTATTGAATTTAATTGATCCGATAAATGTGCAAGTTCATCATTTGTCGATTTCACATGCTCAAGATAATGTTTTGTGCAGACAAATTTATTACAGTGTAAACAGAGAGCATTAGAAATGTTCTTACAACCCGATGTTGTACATGTATTAGGTGCAGTTGTTGTAGCGGAAGCCATTGTGTAAGCGAATATCAGAAATGGGATATTGAACTAAAGTTTGAAAAAATTTTAGCATTTCGAAAATTTTTTGAAAAAATCAGCAATCATACAACCTTCAAGAAGTCAATGTCTATCACCAACAAAATAGTTTTCAGGTGAAAAGAGTGATAAACTCAAATATAATTCTATGTTCTCTTATTATTGTTTTCTGATTTGTTATTTTAAATATTCAATCTCATGAGGAGCACTACGGTCTTGTCCATGTATTGCATAACTGAACTTACGAGAGAATAGTGTCTGAATGTGTAGTAGAGGAGAAGGACGTTATGAATATAACTACATAATAAGCATGGTAGAAAGAGGAGACAAATTTTCTACAGTACTAATGCCAAGTGCCGTGAACTTAATTGTTATCTTGCTTAGCATGAAGATTCTTATTTGAATAGCAGAGTGATGAGAAGAACACACGCTTCTTGCAGTTATGTTAGAAAATCAAATAATCAGTTAGAAAGTGCTTGTGAACTTAAAAGACGATCTAGTCAACAGTGAAACAATGGTGGTTAGAAAACCACATATCCATCTAGTTAGACTAGACCGCAAATTAAAATGAGTTCAAATGTTCAAGTTGCCTATTGTCTATGGTATTTAGTAAATTCTAAAAGTTAAAGGCCTCGTAGAAACTTCAGTCGTATCTTGCGACATTTGGTCCGTTATTTACAACATAAATGATAACATTGTAGTAATAGCTATCAAATTCCTAATGATTACAATAAGTAGTAAGAAGATCAGGACGTCTCAAAAGTCAATTATGTAATAAATGAATTGTATATCAGATGTCAGTAATGTTTATCAAATGTATCAAAATTTTCTTTCAAATATGACTCGAATTTAAATTCAAATACTCATGTTTTCGAAGTTAAGAAATGAAAACTTTCGAAAAAAAAGTCATGCTGCCTTTCTCCATATACCATCGATCGTTAATAAAACTTGAAATTCTAAAAACTGCTCTCTCATGAAAGAAAAGGAAATCAGCCACGATTTTCTTAACTAAAAAACGTTTTCACGGAAAAAATATGCAAACTTTTACTTTCACGATAAGAATGTGCGGGTGTGGGCGGACTCAGCGGGTCAGGTCAACATCTACACTCACACCCACATTCATACCCTTCACCTAAGTATATAGTATAATGAATCAAGTATCTAATATAGAAGTGTCTTCTTTGTTACTCCAACTACATATGGTAATGCCTTTTCATATTTAAAAAGTATAAATCGTGGTCAAAGCTGAAATTCAGTTAAATTTAAAATTTACCCAGACAAATATGAAATTATTTTTTTAATGAAAAGATAAAGATAGAATTTTGATAATTAAATGTATGTATTGTGGGTGAGAGTAGTTCGTTGTGAAGAGTGGGAGTATATGTAGGTGTAGAATGAGCAAGACTCAAGGGTTATCATTTTGCAGTTAATTTAAATAGATTTAAGATGACCGGTAATCAAGTTTAAAATAATTTAAATTTCGAATAAAATTTCAATTTAAAAGAATTATCACTTCATCTTTGCATAGGAAGTAATAAGAGGGCTGAATGGAAGAGGGAAGCTAGTAATGCCAAGACTCCCATGGAAATAGCTATTATGGAATCTCCAACGAAAGAGAAAGACAGTTTTTGTTATGATGCAGTGAAACTTTATTATTAAAACCAGAGGAAAATTTTATAATACAAAAAGATATTTGCCACACAGGATTCATTGATTTTGGTATTTGTGCAGAGATCTAGCAGGAGGACTGTCTGCTATTCAACGCCATATGATAAGTATCACTCCGAAATGAATATTGTAAAAAAAAATTCAAGAAAGTAAATTCTCTTACTCAAGAAATATCTCCAAGATAGCAGCCTGAAATTATCATTTTTGAGACAAGAAAACAAAAACTTCTAATCAAAAAAGATATTTACCAGCTTGTCCAGCTAACGATCTGCCAATTTTGGTCTTTTTCATGAACTAATTTAGGATTTTAACTGCGTGAACAAGTAGATTAAACATTTCTCTACAAAATGAGAGGTGTTTCGACTTCTGAAGTTAAATCGTTATGAAAATACAGCTATTGTACGAATGACTACAAAAATCGATTTTGGGGCAATCTGAAAAGTATAGCAGTTTGTAGAGAATTTTTCACTCTACAAGATGTGATAGCTTTCAAATTTCGCAGTTATCTCAATTTATTTTTATTAGATGAAGAAAACTATAAAACCTGGTGACGCACTCAGCAAAAATGACGAAATATGTGAGTACGCTACCATTTTTCGTAGTTTGCTTCATCTAATAAAAATAAATTGAGACAACTGCGAAATTTGAAAGCTATCACATCTTGTAGAGTGAAAAATTCTCTACAAACTGCTATACTTTTCAGATTGCCCCAAAATCGATTTTTGTAGTCATTCGTACAATAGCTGTATTTTCATAACGATTTAACTTCAGAAGTCGAAGCACCTCTCATTTTGTAGAGAAATGTTTAATCTACTTGTTCACGCAGTTAAAACCCTAAATTAGTTACTGGCTTTATTGCAAGGCTTTCATAAAAAAGACCAAAATTGGCAGACCGTTAGCTGGACAAGCTGTATTCTTGAAAAAGTAAGGGTGTGGGTGGTGCGGATGTGAGGCTGTGAGTGGGTGTCGGTGAGTGTGCCTGTGAGTAGGCTTCTTTTCTTGACCTACCAAACTACCTACGCCAATTCACAGCCACACCCACACCCATGAACCGAGTACGGATGTGATTTTAATATGTGGGTCTACACAAGTGCGAGTAAACGTCTAACAGTAACGTCCAGCTGTGAGCCAAGTAGGAGTGTAAGTATCTATGGAACTCGTAGCTTCGCTTACAGTCATGTCAAAATTGTCAAGCTAAGATTTGTCATATGAAATTTGATTCATTATCCATTTCAGGGTGGGGTATGGGTGCGGACGAATCATTTGATCGCACCCACACTTCACACCCACACTCTTCATTGAAAAAGATAAATGTGTAAGTATATAATATTTATCTTATGAATGACTAATTCAATGTTTAGCGTTCTTGCATTGGTAGTTTCGATTGACATAAACGTCAGAGTTAAAGGTAGAAAAAATAAACCGAAGTTTTTTTTCACGCACAGCCACGTGGTTGGAAACTTCGTCATACGAATGAAACGAAACGACATTATTAAACATGAATGAAAAAACCCAGATGAGTACAGCGATTCCTAGGAAATAAAAAAAAATGAAAGAAATTATCGTGAAAATGACGAAACTGACAAAGACAGTTGATATGTTTCATTTGCATCGATTAAAATGGAAATTTTCACTCATCTTATCTCGTGATTTTGATTTCTAATTAAAGTCATCAAATAAAAGTGATCAAAAATCAAAATTACGAAATGGGATGGATAAAAATGACATACGTCGACTTTTTTGTCCGTTTCATCGTCAAAAATGGCATTGGGTGGGTGTGGGTGTGGGTGGGTGCGGGTGCGGGTGTGTGGGTGTGGGTGCGGGTGTGTGGGTGTGGGTGGGTATGGGTGTGTATTAAGATAAGATGAACATACATTCACAGCAATAGCCACACCCACAAACAAATCGAATTTTTTGGAGATCTTTGTAGGTTTTTTTTTATTTTCTTAGCTGCGCTTCGTCGCGCAGTTCACTAAATGAACGATACAAAACTGGCGAGATTAGAGGATCTAAAAAACCAAGCATATCAGAGCCTTTGACAGAATATAGTCCTTACACCAAAAAACAAATGCAGAAGTTTTTGAAAGTATCACAATATTAACAATTGTATACTACTGGGTTCCCTTGTTGGTCTTAATTAAAACACTGTTGAACATTTGGATCATAACAGCGGCCACCAGAGCACGTTTTCTGTCCTTTTGG